AGTCAATATAGGATTTTTCTGCCCCAACACTCAGTGCAATCCCTACACCCAAGAGTCCTCGTAATTGCACAGTCAAAACAACCGGTACCTCCGTATGCGTAACACACATACTACCCACCTCATAACAAACAGCATCATAGCCACATTGACTAATCGCCCCTCTTTGCCTTATGGCACAAACAACAGTGAAACACCGATAGCTCCTAAATACACTGACGAATACAACTTGAGAAATACCGAACTGAATTAACTAATTGAAGCCGTTAGGCGGCCTACGGATACAATATACAACATCGCTTTTACGTGCTACAGTAAACCAATTTGATTTTCTAATGCTCACTTCTTTCATGTGTGGTAAAGGCTGTTGGTCCTCGGTAAACCTTCGCGTCGTTCGTCCTGTTACACGACGGTCGTAGCTTCAGCTGACTCCATAAGGAGTGGTATTCATTATGTTTAAATTGTATTATGCGGTGTGATTAGAAAGCGTGCCAACTGTGAGTGGAGTTCAGTTCACTAAGCAGTCCAGTTTCGCTGAAAACAAACTGGAACGCGCTACCATCTTCCTGTAAACAAGATACATCCAACCACCTTCCAAGGCCACTTTGCTCTTCCTTTCCTCAGGCAACATATACACGTATCTTCACAGTCAGTCCCGTAGTTCAGCCACACATGTCAGTCACTGTTTGGCTGCTAAAATCCTTTCCCTCATATAATCTTAACATTCACTCATTCATTCTATCGAATATAAAATACATTGCTCGTCATATCTGTAAGAGTTGTTACTAAGGTGCACATTTAATGTACAATTTACATTCAACGATGATATCTGCACACAGAAAGACGGGATCGCCATGGACTCCCCCCTTGGCACACTTTTGGTAGACTACTTTATGGCTAGTTTGGAAAATGGGATCTTAAAATCAACAATGCACAAATTGCTGTTGCACAAAAGGTACGCCGATTACACTTTTATGCTTTGTCATGATGATTCCGACTTAAGTCGTATCTTACAAGCGTTTAACAATTCCCATCCTTCAATTAAATTCACAATGGAAGCAGAAAGTGAATCAAGTATTCCATTTCTGCACGTTGAACTTACAAAAAGAGACAATGGAACTCTGAAAAGATCTATTCACGGAAAACCATTATGGAATGGACAACTGACAAATTTCTACAGTTGGATACCTATCAGCCGAAAAAGAGCTCTCATCATCTCGTTGGCTCACTGTACCACAAAAATTTGCAGCGGTGACTGTCCAGAAGAAGAGCTTCTATTTCTCAAAAACATCCTGGCTCAAAATGTATACCCGACGCGTTTCGTGGAGAAGAATATGAAACCAAAGCCAAAAAGCGAAGAATGCACCTCATTTCAGTGCCAAAGAAAACACTATATGTGAATCTGGAAATCAGGGGAGACCTAGCAACAGATATCCTTAAAAGGATATTCCTAAAGACAACCTTTCCTACACCTACTCTAATAGTGATATTCTCCAGCCGCCCACTGCTTGGAAGTGATGTGAAGGACACACAGACTTTCGCATATGACCACTTCAATGTACATATATCAGTTCACCTGCTCGTGTCGAGCTAGGTACATAGGTCGCACGGCTGAAGCCCTATGTTTCTCTATGAATTAAAGAAAATAATAATACATCCAAAATAGGATTTCGCTCTCGGATTCCTCTTCTCTTGTGAATTTGATGTCGTTGAAGACGTTTATTAGGTTGTGAGTTTTATGCAACTCGTTTCTTTTGATTATTACAAATGTGTTATCTACGTAACGTATCCAAATTTTGGGTTTGATCTTTGGTAGGATTATGTTTTCGAGACTTTGCATCACTGCTTCCGCAATCGAAGCTGATATTGGCGATAGCATGGGCGTTCCTTTAACTTGTTCATATATTTACCCATTGAATTGGAAGTAGTTCGTTAGGTGGGTGACGATTATCCAACAGGCGCTTTTCCACAATGGATAGCTCTTCCTCGACGTTTTCTTCTGAGAAGAGCTTTCTTACATGATCAAGTGATGTTCTCACCAATCCTTTTTTGTGACTTATAGCAGCTCTTGAAATTCAGATAAATCGCCCTCTAGGTCTCTTTTCTGTAGATGCGCCACCTACATCACGTCGGACACCAAGGTCAAAAAGGTGAAACTTATCCTCATTTTCACAATCCTCTGTAACCTTAATATTGGGATGAGCACTATTCAGGATATTTAATATTTGATAGACATTACTGAAACAATCACAAATGACGAAAGGGTCATCGACATACCTGGTATGCAGGTCTGCCACACAGAGTGAGGACTTCATTCTTGTTAAGACTGCTCACAAAAATATCTGCTACAATCGGAACTATCGTAATCCCCATTGCTACTCCATCAATTTGGCATCGACCTACTATTGTTAATAATCCCATGATAACTACACAACTTTTAAACTTTCGTTTATATAGTTTTGTTTATTCCTTTTTTTCAGATATCCAAGTGGACAGGTGTTAAATTCTTCCTACTGAACGTATTCTCCCTCAGATGGTGAATAAATCTTCCGTTTTTAGTTTCTCCCTCTGCCCATCTTATATTAGATTCAAACCGGTATTTGGATTTTGGTTCACCTCACCAACTTCGTGTCAGTAGGAACAGGATTGGTGAAATGTTTATGTAATAGAGCACAAAAATTATGTAGTACCAAGGAAAATCTAAGACAGGAAGTGAGGCATGTAAGAGAAGCTTTGAAATTTAGTAATTATCCTGATAAATTAGTAAGGAAGTATGTAGGAAAGCGTAAAAATAAAATTATTAATACTAATGGTAGTGATAGAGATAATAGAAATGACAATAATAATAATGATTTTCTTTATTCAAAGACAGTACTTATGATGTTGTTGTTGTTGTCACTGTCCTTCCTGTTGTGGATTTTTTTCCTTTTGCTGGTGTTGTTCTGATTGCTTTAATCCTTGTTTTCCTGATTCTAAGGGAAGCAGCCCATAAAGTCGCTCCTCCGTAAACTACGTTTATATGTAATAACCCCCTTCTCATGCGTGAGGCTAGCAACCTCACCCTGTAAAAACAAAGTTGCTACAGCACAGTGAGTCTCCTTGCGACAAAAGGAAAACTCTGTGCGGGGACATGGAACGTCCGCACCATGTACGAGACTGGCAAAGCTGCACAGATTGCAAACGAGATGAAAAGAAAACGGAATTCAAGTACTGGGAATACGTGAAGGCAGAGCCCTATGTTCGTCTAGGAACTAAAAGAAACAATGATAATAACCACAACACTGATAAGATGAATGAAATAGTGTCACCGAAAATGGAAAATAGGAGAAGATCAAAGAGCCATTTATTTTGCTAATTATATAGTAAGTTATAATAAGTTTCACACTTAACACTTTCTCTATCGTATAGGTCATGGGATGGCAAGCCAAATAGGGTATCACTGAGTATTTGTACTGAGCTGTGTGAGTGAGGCTTCGGTAATTTATAGTTGCTTCTAGTCTTATCTGATGAGAGTCAAGAAAGAGAGCAGATTTGTGAATAAAGAGTTTGTTGAGAGTCAAACAATATGGATCTAGCGGATTTCTCGCATGAGTTTAGGTGAATGTCGACCACAGTGGTAACGAGCATAATACTTGCCGTAATCACAACCTTTAATACATTTACCTTATATCTGCATATTTACATACACAAAGTTAGTAAGTAGGGTAGATCTGCAGGGACAGAAAAAAATATCCAAATGGTTAATTTCTACATATTGCAAAGTTCAGAAATGTACACTATGACGGCCACTCCCTCAGAGTGCTCTTGATCGAAGTAGATTATTGTCTGATCTGTCAACAATTCGAAGAGCCCTTATACATTCCACCTGCTCTCACAGACTCTTAGCATTTATATACCCTGTCTTCTCATTTCTTTGGAAATCTTGGTAGCCTCCCAAGTTTCATGGTGGTGGAGGGATGGGAAAGAGAGGGATCAGTCACTGAATTCTATGTTTATAGAAGTAGCATACTGCACAAGTGCAGTTAAAATGACTCAACGCCTGTACCGGAGATATGGACAGTGGTAGCAAGCAACACGGAGAAGAAGGAGAAAAAGAAAGAGAGAATATACATATGAGAGAAATTGTGCAGCCTTGTGTCTAAATTGATATAATGATTACGAGTGGCAATAATTTATGCATCATCGATGTGTGCGATATATTTAAAATGAAATTATCTAATATGCAGTCACATTCTACCACAGTGCTCAAGTTCTACACTTACATAAGTAAGCTAGGAAAAGTTAAAAGCCGGTGACACCAAGTATTTCCAGTAAAGATAACCAGGACCAACGTTGATTAACTTTAGAGATCGGACGAAAACTGGTGTTTTCACCGTGGTACGGTTCCCATCCTTCATCACGCTGATATTAGTTTGAAAATCTACTGCACTCTGCCTCAGTGTAAACAACAAAAGTCTAGTTTTAACCACCTATGATAAGTAAGTCAGTTCTTTTATAAGGGTCAAAAACTTGCACTGTGCGTCGCGGAAAGCATTTCCAACAGGCAACTGCACAGTTTTGTCAACAGCTGCCCCCTTCACTGAGTCTATGCTAGAGATCACATGGCCGGCCTGAAATAATTAGCAACACGAAACTCTGGCAGTCAACCAACCTGTCGAGAACCTGTTGCACAAAAAATATGTCAGAAGAAACGGGGATGGATTGAAAACACACTGAAGAGACCGTTGAGTGACATCACGCGCTAGACTATCACTCGGGTGAAAATTAGTCGGAATGAGACATGTTAAACAACTATCCCAGGTTGACATGGAGGATATCGTGCGGTGAGGAGGAGATGAGAGCCTACGGGTAGACATGGTGCCAACTATAGAGGACTGCAGAGAGCAGAGTAAGCCAGAGATGTTTCCCCGTTTGCATCCCTATATTCCACTGGCAATCCATAGGAATAATAATAGTAATTATACAAGTGGATAAATGAAATTCCAGATAAATTAATCATTTATTTAAAAAATACCATAAACACATGTCAGTGTCACTATGACAACACAAATTCCATGTAAAACAAAATGGCTACCGTAATGACTGGCTGAATTCTCTAATTCCTCCTTTTCTTCTTTCAATTTCCGCATTATTTCTCTTAACGCATCGTTAATTCTTTGATTTTCTTTGGCCACTTCCTCTTCTTCTAGTCGCTTGATTTGTTCAGCAATTAATTGCGCTCCTTTTGCTGCGCTATCACTAGTATGCGGTGTTTTGGCAACATTTTCTGAACGTCCTTTTGAATGAGCGTCTTCACCTGTAACACACACTGTTGTTGACAAAAAGATACAGATGGGAATAATGAAGAGATTCAAAGACATCAGATGACTCTCACAGAGGATTTGAACAATCGAAGATTGTGTCAGAGAATGAGAATATATATATATATATGTATCGCATCACATCAACTGGTCGTGCAACACGTAATTTATAAGTAGACAAGTTTTTTATCTGTCTTATGCAGCGAACAAGTCTTGCATCTGTGCTAAATGTTTATTATCTCTTAAATACTAGTATTTAGTGTCAAAACTGTTGGTACGAAATGCAAATTACAAAATAATCATGAATAAAGGAGACCAAATGTTTCATTTTTTGATTATACACCAGACATATAACATGTTCAGTCTCATTTTTGTGTGATTTTTAAAAAATTATTTTTCAAAGTCAGATTTTCATCAAGTAAACTCAATTTCGTATGCCAACATACGTGTATGCACGTTTCATTGAAATAAAAATACACGAGAAAATCAGTTTTCAGAAAAGTGTCTTTCCCATCGGTGAATTCATTCTCTCCTCTTTAGTTGTGCAATGGCATTCACTTCGATTTTGAATAAGAAATAATATCAGTTAGAGCACCAATCATAGCAGCCAGCATGGAGTACTGCACAGGCATGTGTTTCATTCTAGTTTAGCACTAGTCGGCAGTACGCATTCACCACAGGGATTCGAGTCCAGAATCTACAAGTTACAAGGCAAGCTCGTATACTATTCAGTCACTCATTGGCAAGCCCACGAATTCTTATTCTTATCAATTCATGATTTTAGCGCTACTGGTAACAGCCAATGTCATCCACGGCAGGTATTTTTCCACGCCTTTGACCACTGGTTGGATCCCGTCGGTCATGACTTCTCACCAGAAGTCCAAGAAACTTCACCATGTCACAAGTCAATAATGAGAGATACTAGTTTTTCAAAGGTTAGTTTGTGGGGTGAGGACAAAAAGTTGCTGCTTATGGATGGTCACGCTGAAATCCACGAACTGGTAGAAATCCGAATCAACAGACTGGCTATTAATTCGGGTCACAGTGGCTGAATGATCTAACAACCTGCCTGTTAGACGGCAGGCACTGTTAAGTCCCAAACTAGGACAGAATAGCTGTAAAGTGATACCTGGTTTTCAATGCTTCCCTTACTGATGACACTCCACAGTAAAACTTACAGAGCAAATCAAATATCTACAATTAAAATCTTAAGAATGGCATTCATGTAAATTTTTCATGAAATGGGGTAGTAAAGAAAGTTATGAGTTGTCATCATAATCACAGTTGTTATTGATAGCCATTAAGTAAGAAGACTTCAGTAAGTGTATTGGAATTTCGTAATAAGTTAGATAATTTGAAGACTGAATGAGTTGTTATCAGGATAAATATAGAAAAGAAGGGAAATATAGAAATACGCTGGAGTTCTACAGAAGTTGAAGAGTTACAAAAGAAACGAAATCAACATTCACAGAATACGAAATGCATATCACGAAATGATCATGAATGCAGCAGAGCAAATTTTTAATTTTTTGACTACACACTAGACATAAGACAAGTTCTGTCTCATTTTTTTGTGCGATTTTTTATCAAGTGCTGTTTTGGAAAGCCAGATTTCGCTGATATAAACTCAACTTCTTGTACCAAAGTACGTCTATACGCGTTTCATTGAAACGTAAAAACACGAGTCAACTAGTGTTCACTGAATACCCTCTAGTGTTGGCGAAATCACCTTCTTCTCTTTCACTCTACAATCAATCGCATTACTATACAATTTGCTTCTGTCGGTAAAGGAGAGAGTATGAAAGAGATGAGACGCAATTAAAACAACCAACACCAACCTCTTTTCGTCTTAACGCAGGAAACCAGTGTTCGCTAACTAAAATTCACCCAAGTTAACCATCATCACTCACAGACTACTCCAACATCAGCGTAAAGATAGTTATTCCCAGAAACATTTTTGCTTCTATTCAACAATCATATTTTATCAAATAGTCAAAATCACCTCAACCACGTCGTTAGACGGCTATATGCATGAAATGAATTTCAGGTACAAAACAAGTTCTGCAGAGTGAAGATAAGTGAGAAACGTATTTCAACTGTAAAACACACCTGAGAAGAGTCAAGTAAAATATTCCCAACAAGAAAGAATAAAACCGTTATTCACAACAACCACACACACACACGAACGTGTTCATCCAGAAGCACCTAAGTACCATTCTTAAAACAACACATTATCAATATCACCACAAAATCAACCACAAAGAGAAGCAATACAATGAGAGATTAAACATGCTCAAAGAGTAATGCTAAGGATTAGGTCGACATATGAGGATATGCGAATGTCGGATAAATGATATACAATGTAGGAGAACAAAGAAATATTGATTACAGAGTTATCTGAAGTATCCAAATAAGTCTCTATATTGTATTTAGACGATTCACGAGGTATTTTCCGAATGATTATTCCTTAACAATCACAACAACACTAGCCAATATTAACCCGTATATATGAGCATATGAGTAGTTGAACAAGGGTGCTAGAGTTATGGAATGAGATGAATGATTGAATACGATGAATGACTTGCAATCGTGAGGCACATAAGGACAAGGAAAATCCTGTGTTGTGTAAGTGTTCTGGAGGATATATGAATCCGAATGGTTGGTATGTAACCACATGTTTGTAATCAAATATCAACAATTTTATGACACACTCAAAAATAGTTTCAGTGGAAATGTCATCAGCTCACTATCCTGTCTGTACTGATATCAAGCAAGAGTCCCTAAGGACTAAGCATCAGAATTATAAGTTCATCAGATTCGCCTTATTGTTAATGTTGTTTGACCTGTAGGATACTCTTCCGCTGTATGTCCAATTCCTTGAGTAGATAACGTTATAAGAAATCACCATATCTGCATGGTGAGATGTATAGGTTTGACACGTGTGCGAAAGTTGATTTCACATAGAAGGTAAAAATATACTTCCTGTTAGACTTTCTTTATAACACACGTAACACTGGGTTTCTTCGTTAATTATTATTATTATTTTGATTAGTAATAGTATTAGCAGTATTCACTTGGACTACTGGGTGAGACACAGGGCTTCACCAGGGACACATTCCCATTCCACTTCAGAAAACTTCACATGGCTCTACGACTGCCAATAAGCTCTCATCTCCTCCACATCACACCACACCATGTCCACCATGTCCACCTCAGATACTCATCCAAGTCGTCGTTTCCAGTTGTACTTCCACTTGAGGACGTGGCATGTAAAGTAAGTCAATGGTTTTCTGAGCGCGTGTTCAATTCGCTTCCATTTGCTTCATCGTACTGTTGGGCAGTAGGTCACTGATTGGTTTGTTCCCTACCAGACTTTCTTGTTGATAATCCTTTCTGGTCAGCTGATTTCGCGTATGAAGACAAGACAGCAGTTGATGCATTCTGCCACAGAAGTATGTTGGAAACGCTTTCTATGACTTGCTGAGTAAATTTCTGACGTAGATAGAAGAACGACCGACTGACTTAACATTGGTGTTGAAAATCCGAATTTCATTCTTCACGCTAATGAGTGCAGAAGATTTCCAAACTGATTTCAGAGTAGTCAATGTTTGTCTACCCTTTCCGATCCTTGTTTCGACACCCTCATCTATCGCACTAGCTTTAGTTAGCCACACAGAACAAATTAATTCTCAAATACAAAACAATTATTGTAGAACAAAATTAGTTAAGTGTAGGAAGTACCCTAGAATGAAGCTGAACATTCCCAACAACACAGTGGAATCAAAACCTCTGTCAGCGAGAATCACACGTCAAGGCGTTCTCACGGACTGTCCAAGGTCAGAGTAACCAAACAAAATCTCTGTTGTGAAACAACAAATTGTCAATATCACCACAAAATTAACCACAGAGAGATGCATTAAAACTAGAGATTAAATAGGAACAATGATCGGAAATAGCGATTAAGTCAACACGTGATTCTATGGAGACATCAGAACAGGGATATGTAGCTTGAGGAGATTAACAACAATTTCGGTCGCAAAATCTAAATAGGTATAAGAATTCTAATTAGATTGTTCAGGAGGGATTTTTGAAACAATTATTCCGTTACCCAAAGAGAGACTTTTGTCTATAAATCATCGTTTTTGTTACTGTCCACACTTCTAGATATTTAACTATCCAGCATATATGCAGTTTTCCGAGTTCACTCTCTATACTGCCAGTCAATTTTAATGCTTCTAAATGACTGTTTGTGTGTGAGAAACAGCTTCCTCTACGTCGTTATTGCTTATTATAATTACTGTGTCATCTATATATCTCCACTGATGTTTTTTGGTTAGGCGAAAATGGTTCTGATATGTGTGTTTCGCCTCAATATCCTTGAATATGTTCACAAGCATCGGTAAGTCAGATGATCCCATAACTCTTTTTTCATTCAGTTTCGGTACTCCTTTCCCACAAGTTCCTATATGAGTTGTCGTTAGGCAGGATTCTTCGCCTTTCAAAATCACCCCACCGGTAACTATGTTCTGTCTGTGTTATCTCAAGTTAAGAAGGACCACAAGTGTACATTTCAATTGCTAGATATAATCTGGGGCGTGACATATGTTCCAAGGACTTAGATGGATAATTTATGCTTCACCTACCCAGCTAGGCGAATCTCAGCTACAAAGAAGTTATTTCTTTAACCACTGCATTCTCTCTTTGTCTAGTTCTCAAGCAGTTATGATCATCAGTGTGTAGATTACACTTACAAATACCTCCTACTTAGTGGTGATTTCAAAAAAGATTCTTTGGGTTCACATGATCTCTCCATATCTCCCTATGAACCCCCCCCTAATGACTCATATCAAACACAGCTTGTGTCAGTTTAATTTCTTCATCTTTGGGTGTATCTACAGTGATAATTCATTGGATTCTACTGAAGAAGAGGCACCTCACCATAACTTTTGTTTATCGAACAGAAGGGAAGAGATGTTGTAATTAAGATACTGTCCTCTCCAGGTAGGTT